TAATTCCATAACTTAATAACAGTTTTCCAAAACTGGGAATATTTAATGCCTCAGTTCTAGTATTCTCATCAGTAAAATGAGAGGTTTAGAGTATATGATTTCTAATTTCTCATTTAGGTCCAAAATTCTGCAGTTTTACTAAGTTATAATAAAGCAAGGATAAATGGACACTAAATGTTGATTTAGCCATGGTGGGAGGCACAATGAACTTGAGATATAATGAACTTAAAATTACCAGAGTTAAATACATCGTACTATAAGTAGATGACCTAACTAGTAAAACAAATGCCTAATAAATGAAACAAAGTCTTGCTAACTGTTTAGGGTATTTTTACCTAAGATTAAAAAAAATATATGATTTATATGCTAAATTACCAATGACTGAAACAGTTTCACAATTCTCATTTACCTACATACAGATAGGACAATGGAAATAAATGAATGCATTCTCTTGCTATCTAAGGAAAGCTCTAATTTAGCCAGGGCTTCAATAATTATAGTAGTTTAAAAAAACAAATGCATTTTACATATTCTGTACAATAATCTTTTCTATTACATGTTTTTTTCCCCTCCTTTGAGTTCACTGCTAATGAAATAAAAGTAGTCAATTGATTTAACAAATAAAAACTGTCAATTATTTATTACTTATACGGCAGAGTCTATGCTACTTCTATGGCAGTAATACACCCAGGAGTATTATACCAAACACTGTATCTATAAATCTTTATTGGCTAACATTTATGAATTTTGGGACTATGTTCAGATTTCTATCTTGTTAAAAAATTAAAAACACTTAACATCTCAAAAATTTCCTCAAATCAAGCTCAGTAATATACAAAAGATATTACAGAATAATTCTCATTCCCAATTCAAAGCTATCACTATTCTGCAACTCTCCTAAATGAATTAACACTGGACAGGCTTCCACACTACAGAAATACCTAAACTACTGGGGTTTGTCTTGGCCTGGAATCACAGAAGAAATTAATTCTATGCTGAATTTGGGTGAAAATTAAGGTAAACACTGAAGGTACTGTGAAGCAAAGTAAATCTGTACATCTTATACATTTCTTTAAGTTAAGTAAATTTTGTTAATTTTTTTTGCCAACAGTGAAAATATTAAGTGCCAGCTAAATTAACATCTTTTATTATGTATAAAAGGCACTATATATTTATGTGTAGTATAAATACATGTAAATATTTATGTATTTGTGTATATATTCAGACTCTAATTTGGCACAGCCGAATTTGGCAATTAGAACACAACTTCTTTTCTTCAAGTTCCAATATTTCTTCAGCTAGTATTCTCTGTATTTTTTGTTAGACTAATGAATGCATGGCTTCAACTACTTTAGACTTTATATGTAGATAACAGCAAGAGAAGGCACTTTATTCAAGATGTAGAAAACACGGTAGGCCAACAAACCTTCAGCCATTTTACATGCAGGAAGTTGAGCATGTAAGAGAAATTTACCATAATGTTATCTCCTTCAAGGCGTGCTGAGTTTAGTTGCTTAAGTGCATAGGTAAGAGACAAAGAACACATTATACCAATGAACACAGTAAAACAAGTTACTTCTGCACACTAAAGAACACACAAACAAGTATTAAGAACCGATAAAATGGTCTTCTACTTAAAAAAAAAATCCAACTACAGAATTTCATACAATGGTACCTGTTCAATTTTTTCAAAAGATTCAATTTTCAAAGATAAAAAACATGGTTGATGCTTGATTTTAAATTAGAATTATTTAGGGAAAATGCATCACTTTAAAAACTGCCACAATTTCCTAAATTTTTATTAAATTTTCACCTATGAAAGCCATTCTGCCTACCCACAATTTCCCTATTCAAAGATCATTTCTATTTTATTAATGTATGATGCCTTCAGCCATGTTCTCTTTCAATCAGTCTCACAGGTCTTAGCATACCCTGAAGAGATATATGAAAGGCATGTCAATCCTTGTATTTTTAATAAACTTTAAATTCTAATATATGTACATTTAAGTTAAGGTTATATGATGGTGCTATAAATTCACTCAGTTTGCAGATTAAAGACATAGAATGCTGTGGAAATGCTTAAGCGGGCAGAGGGACATACTTGTTATGTTACTTGAAAATGTATTTTCCATCATGTTTGGATACCCAAAAGTAACAGACGTCTAAACCTCTCAATATCAGAGAGCTTTGAAACCAGATGATTTTTTTCTTCCCATTAACAACACTCTAAAATGATTTTTTAAAAAGTTTATATAGACTAAGTTAGGTTAACAAATGTCAGTGCTTTATAACTTAAATGCATAAGTTATATTTGTTTTTGCTTCTCTGATGTAAGTTTTATACTATTTTCAAAGCTGTACTTTATTCATTGTAAAATATTCAGGGAGGTTTTCTCTTTTCTGCTCAATTGGTATATTTTTGAGAAATGTCTTTGATGTTGCTTTACCATTCTTCAACACATTAACTAATAAAACAGATTAGTAAAGTAGCAATATTGAATATAGGCAGAAATATTTTACTGGTATGGCAAAATCACCAAAAAATTCAATCTACTATAGCAGATTGTAAACTGAGGGCAGCAGAGATTTTGCACTATTTATATATGAACTCCTTCTCAGCAAAGCACCTTGTACAAAATTAGCATTCAGTAAATCTAGAATTTAAAAACAGGTCACAAGAAACTAGTAAACAAATTTTTAAAAAAGTGCTGACATGCACAGGTCCCAAATCTTACAGAGGAACAACTAGTCACAAAACAATCCGAGGAAATTTACAAAGAACTAAAATCAAAGAAAGTCTGAGATTAGAGTAACCTCCTCAGCCACCAACTAGGAGCAGGAAATGTGTCAAAGAAGAAAAAAAAAAGGAAAAACAAACTCCTAGTGGTTTCAATTTTTCTGTATTCTTCGAGTAAACGGAAGAGAAATACAGAGAAAAAAAAATCACAAAATATAGGCATGCCTCAAGGCTTTATGTGATAACAAACTAAGAGGGCTTTTCCTTTCCAAAGTATTTCAGACTTACTGCTATAAAGTTTGAAGAAAAACAAGTTGGTTATCTAGAGGGAAAGAACACAACTAAAATCAGGAAATGTGAATTTTTGTCTAGACTAATATTTTTAATATTTGGCTACAGTTAAATTTTGTTTAATGCAATATATAAATTCTAGAAAAGCTGTGTACAAACATAATTGTTGAAAAATTCATTTGTATAAACTTTTATTTTTAAATGTAAATTCTCATGGAAAAAATTTTGTCCTCAATAATACACAGCACAGAAAATCTGTCAACATCTTTCCTGGATATATCAAAAGGAATTATCTCTCAAAATTTGTCTACTATTATATTTGGTTCCTACACATTTTAATAGCAGTGGTAAAATAATTTAGAATACATAGGACCTGGTATACTGTTAAATTTATGAACTCTCTGGCACTTTTCCAAGTAAAATGTAGACTATCATTATTCTGTAACAGTGTTTGTTAAAGAAAGTTTTGTATTCTTATTCCATAATCACTGGGCACATATAAACATTTCAAATAAAGATATTCTGTTCTAACATTTATTTCCAAATGATCCTTATTTAACATTTTTTCTGATTATGAAATTTGTATCTTAAAAACCAATTCATATTTTGCTATATAAGTTTATTGTTAGCAACTTAGAAATTCATATCCTAATTTAGAGTCTCTTGCCATCTATGGTATTCATCTGTAAAGTTCTAATTCTGCAAAAAGCTTGTTTAGGGAAGTTAAGCCGTTCTTTATGATGATGTCATCATAAATTCTGAGGTGAACTAGCCAGTGATTTTGAAATTAATGTCTTGTCAAAGACAGCTCTTCTCCAGCAGTTGCTAATACAGAATCTCCAAAAGGAGAACTGTCTAGAAGAAAATAATTTATTCTGCTCATATAAGGTGTTGGGTAATCTCATAAGACAACACTGTCCAACACCAAGTTACCAGTTTTAAATTTCACTCTAAACCAAGTCTCAACCTTTTCTTTCCCAAAACAAGAGAGCCACAATAGACTTCTACCAGCACCGTGGTAATATGCTCCTAAGGCAATGATTCTTGACGATAGTAGTGGTAGTGAGTTGGGAACAGAAGGCAGTGGGAATGTCACGTCTCTTAACAAAACATATCCCTTAGCTCAAGAATGAACTTGTTAGCTTCATCTAATAAATTCATACTTGTTTGTATTGTACTATCTTAAAGGTGCTCCAATTCAAGCCTGATTAATCTCTTCAAACTTTGGAAAAGAGATATAAACTATATAAATATTACATTAAATCAGAAGCTTATAAATAAAATCTTTAAAGTTATTAAAGTTATATATATATCCTCACATATACATATATATAAAATCACTGAACTACTATATTTAATATATACCCACTTAGTCTTAAAAGACTACTCTGAGATTGATTTTTATAAAAAATATACCAGAACTTATTTATCCAAACAGGTTTCCTCCCCCTTCAAAAGAGCCACCTGGGACTCCATGTTGCCGCTATCTGAATAGTTTTGGAACTATTCTTGGTGACAACTCCTTCAGTCAGTTTGAGTCCCATGTGGAAAGGGAGTCACATCTAATTTTTAAGCTACACATAAGCATTCTCAAACTTGATTCATTCTTATCTTAATTACTATCTGTTTTTCTATTTCAAATATAATAAATCTATTTCCAGAAGACTTATTTTCCATCACCGCTGAGGTTATTCAAAAAATATGACACAGCTTTAGGAGCTCTTATAATTTTTGTTTTTTAGCAACAAGTGTATCACTAAAATAAGAATATTGCCTCTTGATATGACTACTTTTCACCGATTTGAATGTATTAAGTTCTGAAAAGTTTGTTTAAAAACACAAAAACAATACCCTAAAGTCGTATTCTAGTCTTAATGATAGATTACAGCTTGCATGTTATATGAGTGAAACCTTTTACAAGTCTTAAAGTTATTAACCTCAAATACTCTTCTATTAAAAAAAACACTACTTACTGATGCTCTAGTTTCTGCAGCTTTTGCCTTTTTTAGTCTGGTTTTTGCAGCATCCAAATCCAGTCTCTTATTTTGTAATAGTTTCCTTTCTTTCTATAAATATAGGAAAGAAAAAAAAAGCCTAATGATGCTAAAAATCCAGTAAAAGCATACACATTTAAGGTATTATTCTCCATTAAATATATGAATCATCTGATAAAGATCTATGATTACAAAATTGGCTATAAAGTGACGATTCAGGTATCTGACTCCATTTTCTCACTATTTCCAATTTTAAAATGATAGAGACATTCTAGATATCTGGGAAAGATGGCAGGTGATGGCAGATACAAAAGAATATTAGTTTTAATATTCTGTGATTTTGCCCCTCCAGGGAACATTTGGCAATATCTTCTTGGTTGTCACAACTGGGGGAGGGATGTTGCTAGCATCTACTGGGTAGAAGCCAGGGATGCTGCTACACATCTTATAATGCAGTATAGCTCCCACAACAAAGAATTATTCAACAGATAATCTAGGAAGTGCCTATGGTGAAGAAGGTAGAGGGCCCAGGGCAAAGCTCCTTGAAACTCTGTGCCACAGCAACAAAAGCAACTCTATTACTACGAAAACAGAATTTCAAATTTATAGAATGAATAATGAACAAACATTAGTATGATATCTTAGAATTAGTACGATATCTTTGAATTCCTCATGGGAACATCAAGCTTCTTTATAACAGGTAAGTTTATAAGAATTCACTGTTTGCTTTATTAGTTCTTAGAATTCATGTATCAAATATCATCCTATTGACAATCTAATATCTTTTCAATTGTATTTCATCTTTGTGGTTTTTCCTTTGTCTCAGGCCAAACACTTTTATTCACAAATTCACTGTAAACATATTGAGTTTCAATAATATTTTGTAATAAGAAATCTTCTAATTAAGTTTGAAGTAGTATTTACAATAAAGAGCAGTCTTGCAAGAATCTTAGGAAAAGGATATTCACCTAGAACTCCACTCTCTATCACTTAAAAAACAAATTAAACCAAAAAAAAATAGATTAACAGATTAGGTTTGGGAAAGTGATTTTTTTTTCTTTATTTCAGCAATAAAACACAGCTGTGTGAAAAGAAGATAATAGACTTCTAGGGATACAAAAAGACAGAAAGGCTAATAGCCAGAAATATAGCTTCCAGTAATTGGGATTCTGGCTCCCAGTTTAAATGAACAGCTATATGGCTATACTGTGGTGATAAATTGTGCCGTATTTTAATAATCATTCCAGGAACTTCTCTATAGATTTTAGTGCTGGTAACGAACAAGAATGGATGTAAAGACACCTCAGTAACACTACAGGGACACAAAAGTGGAGTCCGTATCATTAATAGTCCTTTATTTCGGTTAGTTTTGTGTTCTGCTGGAATATGCATCTAACTAGATTATTTAATTTTTCTAATCTGCTACATCTACAAAGTCATTAAGAGGGCAAATTATTCATTAAAAACTAAGTATATACCTAAATTATTTTACTAAAAAAATGAACATTTTCCAACTCACAGCAATTGTTTTGTAATCTCCTTCTATAAAGTTTCTTAAAGGAGTGAGAAAATTTAAGGCTGATGTTTGAATCAGCTCTCTGTCTGCTGTTCCAATTCGTTTTTGTGTTTCTCCACATTTAATAAGGGCATTACCTGCAAAGGAAAAAAGTTTGGTTTTTTTTTTTTTTTTTTTTTTTAACCATTGTCTGGTAATGTCAGAAAATCATGTTAAGATAAATCAGCAATTTGATCTGCCTTAAAGTTAGTTGTTACTTGTTTACTTAAGTAAAAATCAAATAAAATTAACTGTAGTTAAGGTAGTTTTATTTTGAAAGTAAATTTAAGATTATAAATATCAAAATGAAAATGACAAAGGTGAACTCCTTATCATATCATAGTTAATTGTACCAACTCTACCAATGGGACAAAAGAGGACAGATACACTAAAAAATACTTACGGTCACAGCTCAAATAGGGTAGATATATTTATAAAAGTATAATTCTTAAAATATTTTAATAAGTAGATAAAGTCAAAATTCTTTTGTTTCTGTATTTATGCACTTACCTCGTGTCTATAAATAAGAGTATATACTTGTATCTTAAGTTAAAAAAAAAACAACCTATGTTTTGCAGCACATATACCCTAATATTTAAATAGGACAAATTCAGTAGAAAATAGAGAAAAAGAAAGAGAACCACAAGATTGGTTCTACTTCCAGTTCTATCTCTAATAAGCTTTAGTTCTGTGGATCTTAATTCCTTCATGCTCAGATAAAATTAGATCTGATTGATAAGGAAGGTAATAATATAATGTAGTTAAGAGCTCAATTTCTGGATACAGATCTACATTTGAATTACTAGCTGTGGATGAACTATGTAACCTCTCTAAGACTCAGTTTCCCTGTCTTTACACAGAGATAATAGAATTTACAAGTAGGATATAAGTGAGGATTTACCAATACATATATTGTACAGTGTTTAGCCCAATTCCTGAAATATTCAATTACTAATACTAATTTATTACTAATACTAACCATCTATTACTAATACTATTATCAATTATTAATAAATAGATTCACAAAGCCCAATTCAAATAATCAGGGTACATTCAATGGAATTATTAGAAGTGCAAACAGGTTAAGCAGGTTAAAAAGGAAAAAATTTAGAAGGTTTCTGAATGTTCATGCTCCACTAGGTCTTCAGCTTGGTGAAGGAAAGGGCTGGGTTTTCACGTACCTTTATGACCCCAACATCTAACTGAGTCTGGCACAAGAAGGCAATAACAAATCTGATCGATATATAAAGTTTTTGTAAAATTTATAGTTAAAATTTAGAAGTCAAAGTATAGAAATTTTAAGCATTTTCAGACTTCTGAAAGAATTATATTTTGAAGAACACAATGTAATAGTTTCAAAGTTGTACAGCTATAAGCCAGTTAATGGATTAATAGCATTCATTACACAGTACTTAGGTTATTTCCATCTGACATAAATACTACTAAAACTAAGTTAATTTAGTCCCAGAATTTATGTGCTATTTCATAAATCAGGACTATATACGTAGAAAATCACTTAATTTACCTATCATTTCATATCCAAATAAGGACAAATTTCTTGCAGAAGTCTTAATAAAAAGAATTATTAGCCATGAAAAACAGGAAAAAAGCTATAGAAATCTGAAATGGTCTTATGTTCTGAGAAAATTAGATTTGAGGGGTAATGATATATAACTGAGCTTCAGAGTTATACATTAAAAAAGTCACTACAGCAACTAAAAAAAGCTGGCATAACTGTGAAACGTAATAGAAAATTTAAAGTATATGAGGAAAATAGAAATAAAATGTCATCCAAACATCGAGAGATAACCACTGTTAACATTTTTGTGGTACTGACATTACTTGGGTAACGAAAGCACTAGTTCAAATACTTAGTATGTGCCAGGTACTTTATTATAGAAATAAATCCTCAAGAAAGCTTAAAAAAGAAAAATCAACTAGAGGAGACATATATAAACAGAGACTGCAATATATCACAAAAAGTACAACAGAGGTGCTGCAAGATTCAATGGGAATACCTATTTAGACATAAAAAGATGTGAATTCTCAGAATATATGCTTAAATATATTAAATACTAAGTTACACTGTATATATTTAGTGGTCACCTACATTTGTCACTGCATCCAAAATTTTAAGACAAAAAAATTGAAGTTAAAATTGATTCTACTAATATTAGGTAAATGTTAATGATGTCTCTAAGTAGTAAAAATCTAAGAGTAAAGATATCTCTTAGCAGACCTTTTGCCTTTCACTTACCATAAGCTGTTCCAGGGCCAAACTCAGTCCCTGCATCAATCATATATTGTCCCAAAAGTTCTGGGTTGTTTATACGACTTGGAGCTTTTCTATCCAGTTTCTCATAAACAAATTCTTCTATCCTGGCATCTAGGAAAAAGGTTTAAAATTACCAATGATTTCAAAAAGCTAAGCTATTTGAAAGATTGTTTTGTTCTCCTACTAGACATTTATTACCTTGTAAAATAAACATGAAATTAGTATGCTTTCAAGTATATATCTTAATATATAATTTTTCATTTGCATGTTAAGAGTATTACATAACTCTAAGAAACTTATATTTTAAAAATCTGATAAAATATTTTGGCACAAAAATATTTAAAATAAAGTAAAACTATTATGAGTATTTTATAGGATTTTAAGTTCCAGAAAGGGTTGGTATTCCTTTAATATCTAGTGAAGTTGCCTTTGCCCCATTCATATACTGTCTAACTTTTAACTTTGAATATATGTACACAATTTTAAAATCAGGGGTTTCCAGCTATAAAAATATGGATATAAGGTACCTAGAAAAATCAAAGAATCACATACTTCTGCCATTATTATTTTGCTTTAGTTTGCTCATATGCTCAATCTCCCTCTTAGAGGCTAAATATTGGGAGTTTAAGGAATGGAACAACAGGATTTGGAATAGTCTACAGAGATCAGCAATATGATTCCTTGGCTTAATTTTATTTAATTATGTTTAAAGTATATAAATATCTGAGCACTCAAAAGATTTTATCATTAAAAATAAGTTTAAAATACAAAAGGTTAAAAGCAATAATAGGAATTAGCATAAATAAAAAGGAAAAAACATCTGTAAGATCTGAATAAACACTTGGTTATCATAATATTTAAGAAATTCACATTTACACTGCTGCCCAACAGTGAGATATTTCAGAGACAAATAAGAAAAAAGTCAAAGTTCCAGACTTTTCAGAAACAATGATTAAACATAAAATTACAATCCAAAAAGAATCTCAGTTAAATAGGTTCCTTCTAAGCACCTCACATAATTCCTCCACAAGTGAAAGTGTCACACAGTACACTGAAAATTTCAAAAATAAGCTGAACCAGTAATAGAAACACTTCAGGAGTTGGCAAAAGTGCTAATTTTCATACATAAAACAGGCTGTTGGAACAATACTCGCTTTTGTGGTAGACTCTGGTGCAGCATCAGAAGAGTTTTTAAGCAGGAATTTAAAAACCTTTCAATTAGTTGAAATCAAAATGAGTCAGTTCAAAACATAGCCACTGAGAAGATATTAACTTAATTGCAGAACTTCATTTTCTGACGTGAGAGTGATTCTTATCTTTGCCATCTATCTATTTGGTCAAAAATTTAAAGTTGAATCCCATGTTGATTTCATTCAGTTAAAAAAAATTGGTATATTTTAAATAAATGTTTCATTTCAATAGGGCATTAAAAGGTCATCATAAAATCTTAACAAAAAATGCAGGCAATTCTGCTATAATACAATGTATATTTCTGAAAAATCCTAGGATCTGAAAAATCATGCACTAAAAGTAACATGGCTTACAGGAAAAAGAAGGTTGGGTCTGACTACTCAAAATCTGTGTAACTTTATAATGAGAGCATAAATAAAACACACAAAAAATTCTGTTACTACTTTAGACTTAAAACACTAATGTAAAACTGTATATGAGCCATTGTAACTCCCTTCTACCGACATCATTCCCGTTTACCAGTTGAGTGTGAGCTTATTTGCCAATCACAAAAACATGTTGTAGAACAGACTATATTATTTAAGGAACTATGGATAGAGCAAGAAACAAGAAGAAAAATGTCTACTACTTTCTTTTCTCTTTCTTTCTTTTTTTTTAAGATACCATGGTATATTATTTAAGTAGCCTTAAATGAATAAGAAATAACACATAGTGTCCAAAAACAACAGGCCTCACTCAAAGTGTAAAAGGACTATTTTAAAAAGTCACCACAATTTAACTAAAATAGCACAGTATTACTAATATTTTGTATAGTGCTTGAGGTTTACGTAATAGCAACAAAGTTTAAAGCTTGGAACTTTAAATTAGTAACAAAGTAAGTTTATGGCATTTCACAACATGGTCACAATAACACTGGGGAAAAGGGGAAGGAAAGCAGGCATTGTTATTGCTGTTTTTGTCCTTCAGTTTTGATCTGTAAACCTCAGGGTGTCAACACACCTGGTTCTAGTTCAAGTTCCACTTCTAATTAGCTATGCTACACTGAACAAAACGCTAACTTGTGAGTTTCAATTAAAACAATTATTATGCACCTTATTTGCCACATTATTGACTTAGGTGATCTGAAAAGCTTTATGGTGGTGTCTGAAAATCAAACGGAATAATTTATGTAAAAATGTAAAACTTAACATAAACATAAATAGTTGGTAACTACTTAAGTTTCTATATAATTTGCCCTTAATTACTAGGGACAATTCTCCCCTGGATGAGAAAGGGATTAATTTATCTACACAGGCTTTCATAACTATTAAAATTCAAACTCACTGCCTGAAATTGAGTTTTCAAGAGGATTCTACAGAGGCCTGAAAAATGTTACTTGTCAGTTTGTTAGAGGGTATACAATGACATGTTTATCACCCTCTTCTTCACCAAAAGCACACACACAAAATAATTATAGACCCCAAAGCCATAACCACAAAATGTTTTCCAAGAGCCATTAAAACTTTTTTTAAAAAACATTAAAAAAAAACCTATTAACAGTACTTTTTAATAAAATTAGTCAATAATGGAGACAAAAGGTAAAAAATTTCTTACTTGGATTTGGCTGCAATAACACTTCAGTTTGTTTCATTATTTTTTCTGTCCATATTTTGGTACATTCAGCTTTGCTAAGGAGGTTCTCTAAGTGAGCATCCAATTCTGTCTTCTCTGCCTGGCCAAGCTTTTCTTCTGTGAACTGTTATTGATTATACAGTTTAAAAAAAAGTTAAATATACCCCCAACACATTTTAGGAATCTGTATTAAAAAGAAAACTCAAATCCAAACAATCCCGGGCATACAAATAATTGTCTGTAAACTGTTGTATATGAATGCTCCTTTTTGCCCCTCTGGTAATTTATCCATACCTCTTTTGTGGCACTTAGGATAATCCTATTCCATAGTTAACACATATCCTTAGTTCTGCTGAAATGTATGGTGTGAATGCTATAGAAAATCTAGCATACTGTCCTATATATAAAGTATATAAATATTTCTTACATTATAAAGGTAGGATAACATAGTGGTAAGGAGTAAAAGTTTTGAGCCAGCTGGATCTGAATTCAAATCCTGACTGCACTGCTAACTGTGTGACCTGAGCAAGCTTTTGAATATTTTTTCCTTAGGTATCTTCCATCGCAAAAGAGACAATACATATATTACGGTGTTTTAAGAATTAAGTAAAGGTATGTATGTAAATCACTTTGTTCAGTGCCTGATAATTATTATTTTGAATTTAAAAAGGGCTATTTATGTTTAACGTGGCTTTGTATCATTGGCACTTTAATCGCACCTAGTGAGATAGGCTTTTATGGGATGTTCTGGGAAACTATCATTTAAGTTGTTTCTTCAAAATATGTTCCAGCAACTGATTTATGGACTAACTTTTGGAACATATCCTATTCATACTACTGAAGCATCTTTTAAAGATCATAAATGTAGTTAAATATACTCACAACATATCAGTTTTTATTATCCTTAGTGGTTTTTGAGGAAAGGCAGCATTGCCCATACAATAACAAAGAGGTAAAAGTATTTCTGTGTAGATTTTATAGAGACTTCTGGACACTTTTAATTAAATACTAGAAGCAATGACTCAGGCTGTTTATCATGCATAATTTTCCTCTAGAATATGTGGTTTCCCATCATAACACAGGTATATCACTAGCACTAATTCTATACTCATTAGTCATGACTTATTTCTGGAAAACAAAATAGAATGTTCACCTTTAAAATATCTTCTGCAGCTCCATTTTTCTGAACTTTATTATCTGTTTCTTTCAGCATCCTTCTTGGTCTAATACTTTCAATTGATTATCAGTTAGCACTTATAGCTTTCAGAATGTTTTTCTTAGACTTCTGGTACACCCCCACTAAAGGTTTTATTCAAGGCCTAGAAATAGCTTCAATAGCTTTTGTAAAGCTTTAGGTCTTTTAAAGACTGGCCTGGAGCCAAACCCTGACCCAATGGGTGGAACTGAGAATAGTAGTTCCAAAGCTATTGCCTAAGCCTGTAAACTTGCAGTGTACTGTAACCAAGGACAGGAGAGGCATTGGGAAAAAGATCAGAACTCTGACCCCAAGGTCAGCTGGATAACTATGCAATCTAATTCTTAAGAGAGAATGCTGATATTCTTTACAGATCCCTGAAGATTCTAAGCTGTAGACCTGCCAAAGGTATACATTAGAATTTTAGAGGTTCCAAGTCTAACCTCCCTTGGTTAAATAGATTATTTCCCAGATAATGCGAGTAGTTCACCCAAGTGAACATCATCTATAAAGGATGATCTACCAGTAGAGAAAAATTCTCCACTTAGCTCCTTAGTAAGCAAGTATATCTATTTTGTTTGTTCATTCCATTCATTCCTTCAACAAATATTTATTAAGCACCTACATATGTGCTAGGCATTATTCTAAGCACATGGATTTCAGAAGCCAAAAAACAGACAAGGTTTCTGCTCTAAGGAAGCTTACATATTAATGGAGAAGACAGACAACAAACAAGTAATTTGACAATAAGGATACAAAGATAAAAAGATGGTGGACAGAGGACCAACACAGATGGTCCCATTGTTTCTTGATCCAGTGACTGAATGATTAACTGAGTGAATTTATGGAACCCTTAAGTATGAGTGAGATAGTTTGATTATAGAAAGCCTGTTCAGAAAATAGTTCTGTAGGAAGAACCACATGAGCAATTTATTTAAGTACCAGTAATAAATTCTGATGTTTACTTGCATTTTCTGAGAGTAAAAAGCAATTGCTGTGCATTTTGTATCATGTACTCAAAAACATCTTGTTACACAGGTAAGAATCATAAATTTAGTGATGAAGAAATTGAGGCTCAGGATGGTTTAAAATTTTGCCCTAAGATGTCAGTGCTGGGATTCAATCTTGTATCTGTTTGAATCATAGTCTTATTATATACTATGCTATCCTTCCAGTAAAATACTTGCTGATTTCAAGCAATTAATATTTTCTATCACCATTACCTAAACACACCTTGTGCTTCTCTGTCCCTCTTTCTTTGTTCATAGCACTCTGATGAGCTGTATCCTATAGCCCACCTCTGCTTCCTGCCTGATATTCAATCATTATCAAATTAAGGATAATAACTTCAATCCTACCTAAAATAAACAATAAAAGGGTGGGAGGGGACATAAGAACATTTCTAATGTTATATATTTAAGTTGAAATCATAAATTTAAATTTTATTATTTCAATGTGTAATTGTAAAAGATATATTTCCCATGATTTTATCACTATGGGGATTTAAAGGTTTTTTCCATTGTTAATCACAAGGTATGATATATTAGGTTAACGAACTAGTACAACACTTAATACATAAATTTTCCTCTAAACTACAGAAATGATGAGTTATATCAACTAAATTAAGGAGAATTATTAATCAAAGATATTTGTGGAGAATACATACTTTTTCTTCAACTGTATGTGAGATATATATTTAGCATATGACATGGTTCTTGCCCTCAAGGATTTTATGATCTTAACAATATTGCTTAAACACAAACATAAAATTATGATATCTTTGTCAGAAGAACAAAAGACTTATTCTTTCTTTAAAAAAAAAGACCCCTTTCCTAATTGCCAAAAATTTTAAATTTTACCCTAAAAATTTTAGTTTTCAACATCTTTAAGTCCAAAATCATTACTGACTTTGTAGTCAATTAGTGCTGATAGTTGTTCATTATAAACTGCATTTGATTTTAAGCATATATATATATATATTTTTTCTTTTTGCGGTACGCGGGCCTCTCACTGTTGTGGCCTCTCCGGTTGTGGAGCACAGGCTCCAGACGCGCAGACTCAGCGGCCACGGCTCACGGGCCTAGCTGCTCTGCGGCATGTGGGATCTTCCCAGACCAGGGCACGAACCCGCGTCCCCTACATCGGCAGGCAGACTCTCAACCACTGCGCCACCAGGTAAGCCCTTAAGCATGTATTTCAATGCATGTATAGCACTACCATTTAATAATTAAAAACTTCTGTGAAAACAAGCTACGATGAATGTCAGAATGCAAAAAAGTCATAGAAATCCAAACCCAATGTTCTCTAAAGTGTAATTTGATGTACTATTCTTTCATAACATTTCATTAGTAACCCAGTAAAATGACCTGAGAAAAGAAAGGTTAATCCACTCTTTATATATTTTCTCTAAACATTGCTTTAAGAAAAAGATTGTCTTTGAGTCAGCCACATTATGCCAGGCACTGCAATCCTTCCTTTACTACAGGATAGACATGCAGGCTACAGTATGAAATAAGAAGCCTGGATTCCATGCCCTGATTTACTAGAGAGAATAAAGGACTACAAGTAAAAAGTCTGTGTGATCAAAGACATCTATTTAATATAAACTCTAACCATCAATTCTTTGATTGGGTAAAGTAATAGTTTAAAAGTATTCTAAACTTCTTCGGGGCAAACGTATAACACAAACTCTGAATATATTAGTAAACTGTAAAGTAGATTCTCCTCAACTGGTTCTCAATTTTGGCTGCTCTTTGGAATTGGGGGAGCTTTCAAAAATACTGATGCTGAATCCAATTCCAAGGATTCTAATTTAACTGGACTGAGGTGCAGGCTGTAAAGATTCCTTGGGTAATTTTAAGTGTAGCTAAGACGAGAACTACTGTTCTAAGCTCATACACAATTATTTTAATATCAGGTTAACAAAACATGTTCTATCTAGCTGTTTACTAAATTAATGCCAACAGCACCAAAGGGTGTGAACACAGTTTTGGGTAACACTAAAGGTGAAGAGTTTTTACAGAATGAGAAAATGTATGGCCTTTGAATGGGATATATTTATTAGAATTTCAGAGACATGGTGAAGTTACTGCAATTTAAATTCTATAAAAGAAATGGAATTTCAGGAGGACCTGAGAGTGAGTGGAATTGCATCCAGACAGGATCCGACAGGAGCTGGTGGAGGCCAGCATCATAATTCACCTTTACATCTCCAGCTTAGATACACTATTGTGCTTGTTAAATTAAATGGGAAATAAAGGCCAAACCCGCAACTAAAGTTTAAAGACCTCTTCCCCCCCAGAAAATAGCTGGTGTTCATGAAGTTCATAGTGTAACTTTAGGAGTCAGTTCAAAGAAAACGTTAGAAAATTAAAATGAACCCCCTTCCCTCAGTAATTTAATTTGAAAATATTTTTTTAGAGACTATATATCATTTTAACAATGGTGAGCAAAGTTTTTCTTCAATATCAATTCTGAATTAAAAATGCGCCCACTTGAAAGATTTATCAAATGAAGAACAGTAATTCACAAAATGGCTATTTACTACAAAGAATATTTAATTATGATAAATTGAGAGTAGATTATGAAGTCCTTGAGGGCAGCAACTGGCTCTCATTCATTTTTGTATCCTTCAATACCAAGCACCTAGGAGATACTCAATAAATATAGGTTCAATTAACGAGTCTGTTTCAGACTAGCATTAATCAACTTCAAGGTCAGCAGATATAATGTTAGAAAAATACTAAAAAAATAATTATTTAACATGCTAAATGATTCAAAGAGTAAACTTTGCATACGGATACTACTTTCTTGGCTAAAATGACATAAAAATTAAAACAAAAACCAAACAGAAAACCATATTGGATATTGTGAGAGGGGAATAAGAAAGAGAGTTGGGGACTTCCCTGGTGCCACTGTGGTAGAGAATCCACCTGCCAATGCAGGGGACATGGGTTCGAGCCCTGGTCCGGGAAGATCTCACGTGCCTTGTAGCAACTAAGCTGTGCGCCACAACTTCTGAGCCTGTGCTCTAGAGCCCACAGGCCACAACTACTGAAGCCCGCGTGCCGAGAGCCCGTGCTCCACAACAAGAGAAGCCACCGCAGTGAGAAGCCTGCGCACTGCAAGGAAGAGTAGCTCCCACTCGCCGCAACTAGAGGAAGCCCACGCGCAGCGACGAAGACCCCAAACAGCCAAAAATAAATAAATAAATAATAAATTTATTAAAAAAAGAGTTGATTCCTTTAGACATACAATCTTATTAATGATGCGAAAGCCACAGAGTGACAGAATTTCAGAGTTCTAAGAGACCTTACATAATAATTCATTACAAGAAAAATGCCACATGATCATACAAAATTGAAAAATGACACAGGAATTGACATAGGAATTCACATCAAGATTCTGTGGTCTGAGATGGACTTGAAGTTATATCTTGAGGTAAGGAAAGGCCACAGAAAGGGAGCAGAGAGCATTCAAGATGAGTTTAACTGTATGAACAAAAATCTAGAGTTAGAAAAGTACAAGATATTTTTGAAATTAAAAAAATAATTTGATAGGAATAAAGTATTTATATATGAGTAAGAGAAAAGACAAGGCTGGAAGGGAGTATTTAATTCTCAATTAAGGAATCTGGACTGAAAAGGTAGGATTTGAATGGTTTTTAAGACATTAATAAAGTCAACAATTTATCAAGGATATATTACCTGATCCTTTTGTGTTCTACTGAAGGCATCACGAACAACAAAAACACCAAAATGGATTGTTAGGGAATGAATACTCCTACTCATTTATACATTTTACCTTAATATTCTTTTTAAAGTACTGAGGTATATAAACACATTTTAGAAGACTGAGAGTGGAGTAATGGGACACATTTATATGATTTAGTAGTTTGATTTTACTTTTTTTTACAACAGGGAACATGTTTAATTTTTAAGTAAAATGAAAAAATGTATAGCAGCTGTCTAACCAGAGTGGCCTATTCCTTAAGGTATAATTTGATTTGAATAGAATTATTTAGAAATATCAAAGCTAAATTCCATTCCTACTGTTTTTATTGCTTATAATGAGTAACTGGCATAGCTCTTACACTATTCTTAGCATGAAACTTGGCACTTTGGCACTACACTGATGTCAACTCAATTTAGAGTAGGAACTCAGTTATCGACTAAATACAGAAATGAGAAAGTGGTGTTCTGTTGAAAATTGCCACACAGCATTCCAAATTTCACATTACATTTTGGAACCATCCTTTTTTTCCTTACATATTTTATTTTAAAGAATTGTGGGGGCTTCCCTGGTGCCACAGTGGTTAAGAATCTGCCTGTCAATGCAGGGGACATGAGTTCGAGCCTTGGTCTGGGAAGATCCCACATGCTGCGGAGCAATTAAGCCTGTGCGCCACAACTACTGCCTGTGAGCCACAACTACGGAGCCCGCGTGCCACAACTGCTGAAGCCTGTGCGCCTAGAGTCCATGCTCCGCAACAAGAGAAGCCACCGCAATGAGAAGCCCCTGCTTGCCGCAACTAGAGAAAGCCCGGGCGCAGCAACGAAGACCCAATGCAGCCAAAAATAAAATAAAACAAACTTATTAAAAAAATTGTGGAAAATGTCAAACATAAACAAAAGTATAATAGTATAATAAAACCTCATGAACCCATAACCCAGCATCGGCAAGTATCAACCTTCTGCCAATGTTGTTTCAACTACCCATCTTTATTTCTTCTAAAATATTTTAAAGCAATTCTCAGACATGATATAGTTTATACATAAATATTTCAAAATGTACCTCTAACAGATACAGATGTAATATAAAAAGTCACATTAAAGAGCCTGTTCATCCTGAAATTTTTCCCTTCTTAGTAAATGGCTCAAGCCAAAACCTCACAGTCATCCTTGACTCATCTTTCTTTCATACTCCAGAGCCAATATGACATGCAATACTGGTTAGATTCTGAACCTCCCCTGCTATGCTATCATTATTTAAGTCATAACACCTTTTGCCTGTCCTCTGGCCACAGCTCCCTAACTGGTCTCCCTAGCACCCCTGTAACCTCAGATTCTGCACTTGTTGCCTCTGCCTGAAATGCTTTCCCTCCAAAAAAAAACTGGGAACTGTCACTTCCTTGAGGTCTTTTCAAATTTGATCCTATTAGAAAGGCTTGCCCTTACCATGATGTCTATACAACATGGCAACAACCATCACCCCTGCCCTTAACCTATCCCCTTTGGCCGTCTTCTCCATCACCACCTGATGTATTTACTATTTTGTCTTATCCTGTTAGACTGTAAGCTTCAGGAGGGCGCTGTGTTGATTTTATTCACTTTTGTATCACTTTGTATCACTAGTGTCCAAAATTGTAGTGACACACAGACATGGAGTAGGCACTTAAGTATTTAAGACTGAAAATTATTTGATAACTAACAGATTATAATTTTAAAACTTCTTCCTAGAGAATTTGAAACAATAATTGAAATTCATTTGGGAAGTACATCTTGAGAGCTCTGTCTCAAGATTTTTTAAATCAAGTCTATCAATTATTTAAATCAATTTGTAATATATGTGTCCTATTTCAGCAGTGCAGATTATGCACCTTGAAAACATATCTAGATGTTTGTATGTATGTATTTATTTTTATTTATTTACTTATGGCCCCGCGGCGTGGCATGCGGGATCTTAGTTCCCCCACCAGGGATCTAACCCCTGCAGTGCAAGCCAGGAGTCTTAACCACTGGACCACCAGATAAGTCCCTCTAGCTGTATTTAAAAGAGTGGCATTACTTAGTGTCAAATCTGCATTCAGCATCTAGAATCACATGGAATCAGCACTAAAACAACACCAAAGCTCACGATATAGGCAGCCATTATCTTGCTCTAGTTCTATGATTCTTTGCCAAAAATAGTGCAATGTAAGATCAATCAACTATGCCAATAAAACCGGGGTAAAGGAGATAAGGAAAGCAGTGATGCAATACAAATGATTTATTTCAGTATCAATTTGGTATGTTATATTAGAAAACTATTTTTGTTTTCTCTTTACAAAAGAGAATGTTGTTGCTACTATGTCTATGCCATCAACTTAAACACCAGACTGTTTACAACCCATGTTGTGGTGAAATTTACATCTGTTCGTAGATTTAACTGAGTTGGCATAATGTGGGTGATGACTGTAGAAAACTGTCCAAGTTCCCTAGTACTGACACTTCCTTGATTTCTGAATACCGCGAGACGGTCAACTTTTCCCCTTAAAGTGTATTTGAAAAATGTCCCTGTGACTATAAGCACAACATCAATCTTCCCTTTCTCTCGCACTGCCCTACTGTCAGTGCTTCCCATTTCCAAAATGAGTGGGAACCCCCCTAACTCAGTGGCCCTGGCAAAGTCTGGACGCCAACTGGGGATCTCCATTTATCCCGCGGACTGCCAAGCCCAGGGACCGGACGGGGTGAGAGAGGGCTGCAGGGAACTGTGCTGGCAGCTCTCTGGGTTGAGGGGCAAGGAAAGGAAACTTCCTTCTTGGACTCGGCGAGGAGAGTGAGAAAGACGAAATGAAAGAGTGGGGGTGGTTCAAGAACGGTCTCTGTTACGCCGCGGACTCGCAAGGCCTCCGCCAGCCCCGGGAGGGAGGTCACACGAGCACCGGCGTCGTGAGGTCAGAAAGGCGGGTGGTGCTGTGCCTCGGCCCGAAGCCAAAATCAAGGCGACCTCCAGAGGAGGGAGGAAGCTCCGGGCCCCGTCCCCACTCCGCCTCGCTTCCCCGGGAGCGGCGGCTGGGCAGGAGCGGGGAGGAAAACGGCCGCAGGGCCCAGAGGGGCACCAGGCCGCGCCCATCACCCGGGCCTCCGGCCGCAGCAGGCCCGCCGGGCGGTCGGCGAAGCCCGGTGCGGAGGGCGCGGCCGCCTCGGGCGAACCCTCCCTGGCCCCTTCGGGAGTCGCCACCCCTTCTTCCCGCCGCGGTACCTGAACTGCACGACTGAGGAAGGTGCCCGCGTCGGCCGCCAGCTTCTTCACGTTGAAGTCCATGATGTTCATCCTGGGAGGAAGCCGGGCGGAGCTGCCGGCTGGCCTAGCGGGGAGGCTGAGGCGCCGCGGCCGGGCTGGGGCGCCGCGCGAGTGTCGGGGTCAGACGTGGTAGGTGGAGGGAGGCGGCGCCAGTCCCGCCGCCGCAGCTGTCGTTTCCGTGAAGGGGGAGAGAGAGGGTGGGGCGAGGGGAGAGAACTAGCGCCTCGGAGCCGGCCGCGCGCCCAGGCGGCGGCGGCGGCGGCCGAGACACAGGGCCTGTCCTGCCCGGAGTGCTGCCACTAACGTCGGCAAGGGCCGCGGTGGGCCTGCCGAGGACTACCGGGCAACCCGGCCGTGAAAGTCCGGGTCCCGAACGTAGAAAAAGAGCGCGGGCCGCGGGGCGGAGCCTTTGTAGAGGTTCTCGCGGGAACAGCGACCCCTTCAGGATCGCCGCGGGGCGCGCCGGGAGCTTGGCCAGTTCCGCCTCGGGGAGGGTCGTGTTCGTTGTCAGGTGCTCGCCGCTGGGCGGCTGAGGCGCTGCGTGTTTGCAATTAAGCCCCTGAGAACCAAGAGCAGAGACAACCCAAATACCCCCTTTTTGTTTTAAGTGAAAATGTGGAAGTTGTAGCATAAAATTACAGTATCTGTGAAATTAGAACCCCCAGCTCCCTGTCATCTTGTAGCACCCGCGCCCCGCTGGTCCCTGACGCCTGGATGGCACTTGGCGAACGTTTGCAGTATAGGGTCGAATTTAATGTCCCCACCGAGCCTGTTGTTCATTCATTCAGCATTATTGAATATCTGCCGTGTACCAGGATTGAATCATGTGCTGGAGATACCACGCTGAACAAGACTGTCCCTGCCCTCAGGAAGCTCTCAGTTCGGTTACGTGACAACCTTCAGGGACACCCCCTTCCCCCTGCTCCAGTTTTGTTTCTATTTGCTGCCACAAGGATTTTGTGACTGCCTAACGTGCTGGATTACAAGATCAACACTAGGTGCATACTTGGTGCGAAATACGGTGCCCAGGACACCAAGTGCCGGGTGGAGAACGTATAAGATGGTGAGTGAGATAGAATAACCCTTAACTATTCAGCGAGGTGAATTTTAATAACTAATGAAAATATGATGTGAATTTTAATAACTAATGAGAATATGATGTGAAATCTGTTCAAAACCCGGTAATTCCAAATGGCTTCTAAAGCAGTCTTCAGGATACAGCCTATGCTTGAACTAATTTAAAACAGGTGCAAGAACGGAGGGAGAGACATTAGTATTTCAAGAGTAAAAAAAAGCTGTATGTATTTTCTGTCTCTGTGCCTTTGTGTTACCATAGGACTGGAAAAATGCAGGCCCGGCAGGCAATGAAATGAGCTAACATTCATGCTTCAGTGTTGTACTGAAGCAGCGGTAACAGCAGTAGGAGCTATGTTAAAGGCACAAAGATTAGTTCCTAAGGGTATTATAAGGAACAGCAGATAACATAAATACTTGTGTTCTTTGTGATGGTGACAGAAGCAACCATTTCTTTCTAAGGTAACTACGAAAGGAAGAGTCGACTCCATCTTCTCATTTTTCCAGAAATATGGAAAAGGAAATATGTAATCAGTAATTTGTTCTTTACTGTCCATTTTAGATTTTTATGTGGAAAGCATTTTATCTCCAGATGTCTGTCTTCACAAGTATATTTGTCATAATCTATGTCTGTTTCTACAAAAGGAACACAACAGCGCCTTCACCATTAGAGGAAAAAACTCTGGATCCTCTTCCTCAAACTTGTAGATCTCCTGATTTGAAAAAAAATCTTCACTTGTTCCTGTTGAGCCCTCTATAGCTGTAATACTGATTCTTTTGTTTCACTGACAAATTCATAAGACTAGTGTGTTGTCTCTATTTCCTTACCATCTTAGAATTTCCTGCCTAGTTTCATGCAGTTGATTTCCACTTCTGTAACTATATCTAAACAGCATTCCTGAGGTTGCCAGTTATCTTCCTGATAAATCAAACGGCCTTTTCTCAGACTTCCACAGTGACTCTACCCAGCTCCTTCCCACAACACACCTCTTTCCAGGGCCTTATTGTTTCCTGGTTTCCCTGCTACCTCCTGGACTTTTTCACTCTATTTTGCTGGCACTTCTGATGACTTTACTGTAAGTATTCCTTAAAGCTCAATGTTTAGTACTTATTTATTGTTGTTGTTTTCTTTGATTAGTTTTTTAATTGAAACTTCAGTTATACTACTTCATTCTTTCATTCATTCATTTAGTAAATATTTTTTGAACATCTGTGTGCCACATGGCATTGTTCTTATGACTGGGAATATAGCAGGCAACAAGACAGACAGCGCTTGCTCTCATGGGAGTTTATAACTAATCCCGTAAAACAGAAATTGAATAAGTAGTCATAAGTATGATAAAATGCCTAGGGGAGTCCAGAGTGCTCTTAAATGTTCACCTCCAGCCTGTAGCTAGTAACCTGAATTTTAATTTGGAGGCTTGGTCTTTCTGTAAGTGTTCCAGATCACCTTTTAAGTCTTTCTTTTTCTGTCCGCCGTACTAACTTCTTATTCCAATAGTTCAAGGTATTAGGAAAGCAGTCTTTTAAAGTTCATATAAAGTGCTGAATATCTGAAATTATCCCCGAAGTTTTTAGCTTAAAAAATAAACAAAATTTTTATAAAAATGGCATTTTAGGTAGTATATATTTTAATGTTTTTTTTTTGTAGTGGCTGACAAAGTGTTCATTACCTTATGTTTAGACCAATGACATCGAAAGTGGAGGTATGTAAACTTCATGGGTGTGCAAGATGATGCACTGGGGCACATAAAGATATATTAGAAGTTTGGCTTGCGTTTACTTTTATCTAATAAATAGAAAAATTTGTTTCATTAATTTTTTAAAAATACGGATTGACACTGGTCTCCCCACCTTGTGTTTATCAGATAGACACACATCACAAACAAACAGTAAATGAAGTATCCTAAGGGAAGAGTTGGAATTCCACAACTTGGAAGAGTTGAAATTAGTACTTTACTTTGATTATGTGCTTCAGCATATGGTTACATAATACATTGTGACTGGTTCCATGTCTTTGCAGATTATATTATCTATCTAGCTTTAACTGAATAAAACTTCACAGTAATGGACAGGTAGCCTAAAGAGTTTTCCCCAAATAAATCATCATTAAAAGTGTTGATACAAGCATAAGCAAACAAGAAATGCCAGAATCAATACTTCTACTTGCTGCATTTATCAGGAAGATTGTTGAAATATGGATTAAAAGATGATAATACTTGGTTCCAGCTTTCAGGGAACTCAGAATCTAGTAGGGGAAACAAACTTGTAAAGCAGTGTGTGAACAGTACCTGTAAAAGCTTGTTTAAGATTGGGCAAGGGTGAGAAAGTGTAGAGGAGGTGGGTATTAAGTTACCAGAATAGGGGAGGTGATAATTAGGACTTCTTGAGCTGACTTTTTTTTTTTAAACATCTTTATTGGAGTATAATTACTTTACAATGGTGTGTTAGTTTCTGCTTTATAACAAAGTGAATCAGTTATACATATACATATGTCCCATATCTCTTCCCTCTTGCATCTCCCTCCCTCCCACCCTCCCTATCCCACCCCTCTAGGTGGTCACAAAGCACCGAGCTGATCTCCCTGTCTTTTGATGGAGTTCATCTGGCAGATTGAGGCATGAGGGTGGGGAGAGATGATCACACTTCCAACTTAGAAATATCAGGTTTTGGGCAGTGTGGATAATGGGTTGGAGAGGGGCAAAGACAGGTAGCAAGAGTGATTAGGTATCTATTGCCATACTCACCCTGTACTCTGCTATCTTTAAATCTTGGATTTGGAAACTTAGTTTTGACCAAAATTCCCCCTCCTTTGATCTCTGACTTCTTTACTCATTTGAGTGTGTTTTCATCATCATCAAGGCCTGCAATCCCATGCCTTGTTTTTATTTGTCCTATTTTTAACTTTCACCAGCACTCTCAGTTCCCTTTATCCTTCTGACCTATCAACCTACCTTCCTGGTTGAATGTTTTCTCTGTGCGTACTCTCAAACTGCCAAGCATCATTAGGGAGAGTTGTACAAACTTGTAGATGGATGCTTGTACCAATGCATGATTGCTAACTTCCACTGAACCTTTACAACTACCTAAAATGCTTCTGCTTCTTCCTAATTAACTCTTTTTCACACACTCTGCAGAGCCTACTGCAAAATTTTGCCACTCTCCTAAGATGCCTGCCTTATTCTCATATACTCTTATTTTTAGCCTTTGATACTTTTTCTCTGCAGAGAAACTATGAATCATCAAGCTATATGGAGGGAGCTCCTTCAATAAAATTCTCTTATTTCTACCTCTTATCCTTCTCCACACTCCTCCCCCAAATACTGCCAAATATTTCAAAGGAAGTGTCCTAGGTGTTCTCTTCTGATTTGAGCTACTGCTTTCTTAATCTTGGCTGCATATTGGCATCACCTGGAGAGTTTAAGCATCCACTGATGCCTAGATCACAACCCCAGAGCATGGACCGGGCATTGGGGTGCTCAGAAGTTCCCACAGGTGATTCTAATCTGTGGCCAAGGTTGAGAATGTAAGTATCATCCTCTGAGAACTTGGTCTGCCAGTCTCTACCCTCTGCCTACAGATACATTACGTTTCTCATCTTCTGGGCAGCAACCATTTCTTGTTCATTTTTATATTTTTATGGTCTACGTTCCTGGCAACATAGTGGATTCTCAAATACTCTTGTTAAATGAATAAAGTAATCAAATAAAGCTGCATACAGTTCTTTTGTGCCTCCTCCTCCCCAACCTAAATTTCCAACTACAGATTCAGTATTTCCAGTGCTAAGCCTGTTGTAGTTTACTCTTTCTGAAAGTTACTTTTCTTTTTGGGTTTCCTTTAACTTTAAGTTGAATTATATGCACCAAGTCACCTAAGCTAGAAATCTGATCCCCTTTGATTATTTCCTCTTATTTCCCATGTCTCATTGATCGAGTCCTGGCAGTTTTTTTCCTCTGAACTGTTTCTTGTCTTTATCCTCTTTTTTAAAAAATTGAGGTATAATTGACATTTAACATTATATTAGTTTTAAGTGTACGATGTAAAGATTTGCTGTTTGTATACATGTGAAATGATCACCACGATTATTCTAGTTAACATTAGTCACCTTACGTAGTTAAAAAAATTTTTTTTCTTGTGATGAGAACTTCTAAGATCTACTCTCTTAGCAACTTTCAAATATTGAATACAGCATTAGTAACTATAGTCACTAGACTGTATATTACATCCCCAGGACGTGTTTATTTTATCACTGAAGGTTTATATATTTTGACTCCCGCCACCTATTTCTTCTTGTCTCTTTCCCCCTCTGGCAACCACCAATCAGTTCTTTGTATCTATGAGCTAGTTTCTTTTGTTTTTATTTCTGTTTAGATTCCACATATAAGTGAGATCATATACTGTTTGTCTTTGTCTGACTTACTTCACTTAGCATAATACCCTCAGGATCCATCCATGTTGTTGGAAATGGCAAGATTTCATTCTTTTTATGGCTACATAATAGTCCATTGTGTATATATACCACATTTTCTTTATCCTTTCATCCATTGATGGACACTTAGGTGGTTTCTATATCTTGGCTATGGTAAATAATGCTGTAATGAACATGGGGGTGCAGATATCTTTTTGAGTTAGTGTTTTTGTTTTCTTCAGATAAATACTGAGAAGTGGAATTGCTAGGTCATATGGTAATTCTATTTTTATGTTTTTGAGGAATCGCCTTACTGCTTTCCATAGTGACTGCACCAATTTACATTCCTACTAACAGTGCATGTCCCTTTTTTCCACGTCCTCACCAATACCTGCTATTTGTTGTCTTTTTGATAATAGCCATCCTGACATGTGTGAGGTAATATTTCACTGTGATTTTGATTTGAATTTCCCTGATGATTAGTGATGTTGAGCATCTTTTCATGTACCTGATGGCCATCTTTATGTCTTCTTTGGAAAAATGTCTATTCAGATCTTCAGCCCATTTAAAAAATTGGATTT